TAATCTCCAATATGTTGACATACAAAAAAAAGAAGAAATAATGATTTTGTAGTTCTTTGAAAGTTCTATCGGCTAATAGCATTTACCATTTTCACAAAACCACTAACTGTTCAGAAGGAAAATTCTTCCTTGTTTCTCTTTATTCAGAAACCACAATTTTCGAACAACTCTGTAGCTTCACGTTGTAAGGTTTTGACAATAGAATCACATTATTTTGAAGCAAAAAATGATTGATACAGCAACTTTCTTCGGTGGGTGAGCTAGGTTGAAAAGGATACCTTGTTTCCTATTTTCTGATGAAGCTGATCGGAATCTTGCCATTGTGCAGAAAAAGTAGGTTTCAACTAACTTCATTATGTAGCAAAAGGAAAAGGACTCTTTTAAAAGCATCACAACTAACACATTAGTCTAACGTTAGTGCATGGAAACTGCCCAAAAACAAAAAGAAAATTTTCTCATTGAAAATAGTGAGGCGAAAGTTGATGATTAGAAATCTCTGCAGAAATATCTCTATAGGCTTTTACTTTTGTATTATACAATACAGCACTCAATACAATTTCTGTAGACAATTTCAAGACGAATTCATTGAAAATGACATTCGTCTTATAGCAATAACTAAGCGAGAGGTATGATCAAAAAACATGTGCTCAATTTTATCTGGGCCATCAGGTATATAGCTTTTCCACATGCAACTGTTGAAACCTGATAAAACAGACATTGTTGAGTTTCTTTATGTGAGCTGGTTAACTTCCAACGACGTAAGTGAAGTTAACATCGTATTCGAGTATTTTCAGAACCTATTCATCCAGGATGTGTTCTAAATAGAATTTGACGGGCTCTATCGAATAGTGAGATTAGATTCACAATATCTCAAACCAATGTTTCATAAATTGAAGCTTGCTAGTTTTTTCTGTCATCCATAGGAAATCGTGGAGTAATTTCAGCACCAGTTTGAAATTATGGTTTGAGATATCCTAAATCTGACTTCATCATTTGATAGAGCATGTTGACTTTTACCTAGAACATATTCTGGACCGATCAGTGCTGCAAATACTCGAATCCAGTGCTAACTTCATCTCCGTTTCCAAAGAAGTTCTTTTAGAGAAAATAGAAATGTATGCAATGTGTGACTCATAATTATGCTGAAGTCAGAAAAAATAATTGACGGTAATATTAACTTTTGCTAAAATCAAGAGCGATATAGCCACGGCTGCCAAATCTTCTGGTTTTTACCTTCTCAAACTGATTACATGATATGTAAATATCTTACCATATTCCCATCTTATGTGGTTGCTCAGCAAGGGTACAAAGCAGAACATTTGACAACTCTGAATATAGCATCAAAGCCACAAAGCCAGAAGCTGCCACAAATTCGATTATCATGAGAACAATTAACGGAGAGAAATAACAAGTATATGGGTTTAAGATCACAACAGCCGCCATCTAACGAACCAAAATGCTGGATAGATATATGTTTTCCTCAAATGTGAAGGAGAAAACATCTTATTCACAGAGAATGGCACATTTTTCCCTACGACATCAATCGAATCATCTGTTTTGGCTTGATGAACAGTGGATCTTTATATACAATTTGATATGCCTAGTTTTTCTCTACAAAAATGTGTTCTTTATTTATCAAAACAAGTAGAGTCACTTAATCCGCGAGAGCCTTTTGAAAACGAGATAAGAAATGACATTAATAATAGCAATTGACTGTAATAAACTTTTGGTACAATAAAAGTAGAAACCATTAACTACTTTTTGCCCTCACTATCAACAACTGACAATAAGCGAAGGATGATAGGAAGAAAAGTAACGTAATGACGAGGGAGAAGCCAAACGAAGTTTTCATAGTTTTTCTGCATCACGAATTTCTACAGAAATACAATCGAACACGTAGAATGTAAATTCACTAGACTCATCTAAAGTGTCTTCACAGACTGAAAGTGAATATCATTAAAAGAATATACTGATTACAAATTCAATATATTTGGTGCCAATTCATGAAGGAGATTTGTTTGGAATTGATTGCGACGTGTGGCATTTGTTTTCATTGAGGGTATATAGGTGTGTTTAAAAAGAAGATACACATTCGCATCCACACCTTAGAACCACATGCAAAAGAGGTCACGCAAAGTTCTGCTCTGTTTGAAAGCAAAAGCTACACAATTAAAATAACCTTCAATTTGTAGGTTGTAGATCTTCTCACAATGCGTCCTGTGATGTATTTCATTTTTTTTTTTCTAAAATGTATTAGGCGATAAAAACATGAAAGGAGAAACAAAAGGAATTCCTTGTGCATGTAGAAAAATAGATCTTTTGGCAGGAATGTACACCCATGATCAAGAGAACATTCTACTCAAATAGTATTGCACATTTTTCATTAATTTGTCATTCTTATAATCCATCTTGAGTTGATGAAAAGTGAATATTTTATATACAATTTAGTGCACCTTGACTTTCTTTAAAGAACAGAACACTTTATTGCTCAAAATAAAAATTAGTCATTAAATTCATTGAGTTTCATTGATCATTAGATAAAGGAACGGCAATGATTACTCAAAATCAAATGACAATAAAAAGAGCAATTGCTTGCAATAAACTTCTGATACAATAAAAGTAGAAATCATTAACTATTTTCTTCATTCATTCTCAACAACCGATAATAAGCGAGTGATGATAGGAAGAAAAGTTACAAATGGCGACGCAGCAACCAAACAGCGTATTCATAATTTTTCTCCATCACAAATTTCTCCAGAAACACAATGGAACATGCAGAATGTAAATTCATTAGATTCATCTAAAGTGCCTTCACAGACTGAAAGTGAGTATCATTAAAAGGAAATACTGATTACAAATCCAATGTATTTGGTTTTAATTCATGAACAAGAATATGCTTGAAATCGACTATTGATTTTCTTTACACATATAAAATCAGACCTGTTCATCATTCGAAAAAAATAGCTCTTTTGATAAACAACATAAGAGAGTTATTTGAACTATTTATTGTCAAGTATTTCAGTTACGGCTCAAACTTTTTCACTACACATCATGATTTCGTGTTTTATTATGTGATATTTCGTTTCTTATGAACACTCTTTGATTTATAACCAACATTGATAGGGGCTTTGAAATTTTCAATATTCGATTTAGGATTCGAAGATCTTCGGTCAAGGCAAATATGGTATTTAGAGAAATAGTAGTTTATATTTGAAAGACAGACAGAAGCGATTGGTGCAAATGAGTTTATGATAATGGTGGTGAATGCCTCAACTAAACAATTTCGATTTATTTCATCACATTTGAAAGTGACAGAAGTAAGCATTTTTCCCATTTCCATGCTCCACAAAAGACCAATAGCGTTTCATCTGTTAATACACATTTCAGTGAATTCAGAACAGACTGACACTTGTGAATAAAGTTCATCATTTTATATCACTCATAAAGCTGCCAATAATACAGGAGCTCAAGTACTCTTAAACGCCTATTCAGCTAGTTCAAGAGTAGAACAAAGTACCATTTCATTTTGATAAAAATACATTGTAGGTAAACAACGGCAATCATGTCGATTTGATTGGGCTAAATCGTCATGGACACGATGGATACAAATACCACTACTGCTATGGATGACGGATATTCTCTCCTTGGGTAATAAACGTACACTTGCTGAAGACGACCTTAGTGATCTTTCTGTTAATGACAAGTGTTCACACTTGTTGAACAGAGTGAATCAGTATAGTTCTAGATGGCAAGGTACATGGCATTTATTCAAACGAATATTTATTAAAGATTTTCTAATAAGCATATTGCTCGTTTTTCCATTTATTATTGCTCATATTGCACAGCCATTACTTATCCGTCAAATTGTTCTCTACATTAAAGATCAATCAGGATTATCTGCTTACGTTGGTTATCTATATGCTATTGCACTTTGCATTTCTGCCATTATACAAGCGATTATTCATCAACAAATCTTCTTTATCAATACTCGCGCAGGTATGCGGATTCGCAATACATTATCTTCTACCATCTATAAGCATTTGCTGACTATCAATACTGCAGCTCTTTACAAGACTACTGCTGCTCAGATGATTAATTTAGTAGCAAATGATGCCGGTAAATTTGAAGAATTTAGCATGCTTCTGCATGCCTTCGTGCTGGCACCTTTGGAAGCCCTTGTAACGTTTGGTCTCATTTGGTGGAACATTGGTTTACCAACACTATTCGGCTATGCAGTACTGCTTTTATTGGTACCTATTCAGCTCATTTTTAGTAGACAATTTAGTCGATACCGAAAGACCACAATGGCATGTACAGACAAGCGTGTGCAAACAATTAATGAACTTGTCAGTGGATGCCAAATTATTAAAATGTACAATTGGGAAAAAGCCATGGAGAAACGAGTACGTGAAACACGTCGACATGAGCTTTCGAATATTTACAAAGCAACCTGTTTGAGAGCTCTTAATATTGCTCTCTCTTTCTCAGCGTTACCTTTGATTTGTCTTGCTACATTCGGTGGTAGTTGGCTAATGGGCCGAACTTTGCTTCCAGAAAGTATTTTCGCAACACTAGCCTTCTTTGCTATGGTACGAATTCCCGTAACATTTACGCTGCCGTACGCAATCGAAAAATTTAGCGAAGCTCGTGTTTCTGCAAGAAGAATCGATCAATTTATGCAAGTTGACATTTTGTTGAATAAACGTGAAAAAGTGAAAACCGACAACAGGGATCATGTAATCAAAATGGCAGATGCATCATTTTCTTGGAAAGATATTCCTTCTTTGTTTTCTCTTAATCTCAAAATCAAAAGGGGTGACTTAGTTGGAGTGAAAGGTGCCATCGGTACTGGTAAGTCAACCTTACTGGCTGCTATTCTCGGTGAGATCAATCTTGTCAATGGAAAACTGCAGCTATATGTTGACTCTATTTCGTACGCTCCACAATCAGCGTGGATATTTGCTGACACTATTCGAGCTAACATTCTTCTGAACAAACCAATGGATGAAGAGCGTTACAAGAAAGTAATCAAGGCATGTTGCCTTGACATCGATCTACAGAATTTTGGTGAAGTTGGCGATTTATTGATGATTGGTGATAAAGGTGTCAATTTGAGTGGAGGACAAAAAGCTCGAATATCCCTTGCTCGTTGTCTTTACGCTGATGCTGACTTATATTTACTTGATGATCCATTTGCTGCTGTTGATCCAAAGGTGGCAAAGAAAATATTTGATCAATGCATTGGCCCTCGTAGTCTTCTTCGTGGAAAGACTCGCATATTGGTTACACATCAGACGCATTTCTTAGTTGAAGCAGATCAAATGATGGCCTTGACGGATGGTCACATCGATGAATTACATATTGAACAACGGTCTACAACTGAGCCCTCGAATGATACATCAGAAGCAGATTCATATAATGACAAGCAGATGGATTGGACACTAAACACTGCTACAACTGATATGAATTCAATTGTAAAGAATGAGATATCATTTGACGGTGCCATCAAATGGAGTGTTTGGCTAACACTGTTTACTTCACCACCTTTACGTTGGTTTGGTTTTCTTCTTTTGATATTTTTTATGCTTGGCAATGAAGCTCTGTACGACTTTACAAATAGTTGGCTTGCTCTGTGGTCTAGTAAAGATAAAACTGAACAACGATCATCATTTTATGCTCACATTTATCTTGGAGTTATAATTGCTACATTGTTCATTGCATTAATACGAGTTGGCTTTAGCTTCTATATCATGTTGCGTGGTTCAACTTATCTTCACAATAGAATGCTTAAAGGTATCTTGTATACTTCGTTACGTTTCTTCGAAAGTAATCCAAGTGGACGAATATTGAATCGAGCAAGCAAAGATCAGCAAGTGTTAGATGAATCGTTACCTCTGACTTTAATTGATACTATTCAATATTTACTAATGACTCTAGGTTCTATCATAATTATTGGAATGAACAACCCATGGGTACTTCTAATTCTCATTCTTTTAGTTCCCACAGTTTTGTGGCTTCGTAGGTTTTACATGCGTTCGAGTCGTCAACTCAAACGGCTCGAAAGTGTAACACGTAGTCCAATTTATTCACTGTTCTCCTCGTCATTAGACGGACTCACCAGTATTCGTGCGTTTGACGTTCAATGCGATTTTTTGAATATGTTCATCGATAGAATCGATACTAATTCACGAGCTTACTTCATTCTCTTTACCGCTGCGCGTTGGTTCGGTTTACGACTCGATCTTATAACATCCTTACTCACTTTGGTTACTGCTATTCTTGCAGTAGCATTGCGCCATCAAATGGATCCATCAGCAGCAGCTCTCAGTATTAGTTATTGTATTAGTTTAACAGGTCTATTTCAATGGGCTATACGACAATCAGCCGAAGCTGAAAATTTCATGACCAGCGCAGAACGTATTCATGAATATGGTCAACTAGTACCAGAAAGCCATTCGAACAGTAATAAAAGTGATGTCCTTATTCAACCAGCAGATGATTGGCCTTCTCGTGGTATTATCGAATTTAAAGATTACACTTTTCGCTATCGACCAGAGCTCGATCCTGTTCTAAAAAATCTTAACCTACGAATTGAATCTAAAGAAAAGATTGGAATTATCGGTCGGACAGGTATGATTGCTTCACTTATGGTAAAATATGTGAAGAGCATTCCTAATGAGGGTTGTTATATTTATATTTCTCTGTTTAAATCGAACTTCTTATGACATGCTTTTCTATTCTCAACACGTAAAAATACCTATAACCGTTTTGATATTTGGGCGCTTTCCCAGCTACTGCTAATACTTCGAAATATATATTTAAAGTTGTGAAATTGTTCTTTGATATAAAGGCGAGTGAGATCAAAAGAAGATAGGCAGGCCCAAAGAGATAAGTCTGATAAGACTCACAAATGTTGACACTGTAAATAGTGGCAAATTCTTCATGTAGGAATCTCATGGTCTAAAAAACTTGTTTGAGAGTCCTAAAAATTCTTTTTACAAGAAGACATTTCTAAACAGTGCACTGCTTTAAAAAAAAAGAATCGATTGTGCGGTGTGAGAGGCGAGTCATATACTCCATATACTTTTTAAATCATTTTGTATGACTAGGTGAGTGCTCTCGAGAGATAAGATATACAGTGTCGAGGAATCATATTGCACTATGATATCATAAAATGATTGATTAATACTGAAATATCAATCGGTGTCCAAATAGTAAGTGCATACCATATGAGACTAATTGTACGAGTAGCTGATTTTGAACGTTTAATTGGAGCGATTCATTGATTAGGAACTGCATTTTTCGAAAAGAGTATTAGATGAAGGCACTGTATTCCCAAAGGACTTGAAATATTGGAATGTGTGATTATCCTCTTGACGACATTCGTTTAGCAATGTCTTTTTTTCGTCTAGGTGCCGGAAAATCATCACTTCTTCAAGCTCTCTTTCGACTTGTTGATCAGTCAGCAATCAACGGAACCATTCTTATCGACGACATCGATATTGGACGTCTTTCACTCGATTATCTTCGTTCTCATCTAAGTGTTATTCCACAAGTACCCATACTCTTCTGTGGTACACTTCGATACAATATTGATCCGTTTCAGCGATACTCAGATGAAGAATGTGTTGCAGCACTTGAAGCTGTTCAACTCAAACAATTGGTGCGTAGCCACCCCGATGGACTCCATCTGCTGGTAGCTGAGTCTGGTGCTAATTTGAGTGCTGGTGAACGCCAATTGATTTGTGTAGCTCGAGCCATTCTAAAGAGGAGCCATATATTGCTGATTGATGAGGCTACAGCAAATGTTGATCATGCCACCGACAGAATGATTCAAGAGGTGATTGCTGACAAGTTTGGTGATCGCACTATATTAACGATTGCACATCGATTGAATACAGTGGCTAATAGTGATCGCATTCTTATGTTACAACAGGGAGAAGTTGCCTACTTCGATGTGCCTAATAATATTAATCTAACTTAATATGATCGTGAAAAAAATGTAGCCTTAACAGCAAAAATATCATTGCTAATTGTTTTGATCTAGAAAGTTATTTCCCACTCGCTATTGTCGTTTATATATGTTGATGTTGGTATCATTCTTTTGTTATTGAAGGTATTGAAAATACAGCATATTAAGACTATAGCAAGAATCTGATCGTGCATATCAGTGCCATCGATGACTGATTGTTGGATTATAAGCCGGATAGAATTCATTTACCCTGCTGTCTATGTAGAATATTGAATGCAAGCTGTCCACCTGAACAATGAATGAAGAAAGGCAGGTGAGACAATAATCGAGAAGATACTCTGAAATAAAAAGGTACTATACGGAATCAAATATAGTTTCGTGCGCTCTACAGACCTTAGAAAGGGTTTCGTGCGCTCTACA